CCCTACCTGTGGTAAGGTACTTTCTATGAGATGGTTAGTCCAACCCAAAGACTCTGCTAATTTACTCTTAGATAGGTTTCATACTTTTCAACTAATGCAATATCCAAAAGTATACAGTGCACTTATGATTATCATTAAGAGCTTAATACATTACGTATCTTATAGAATATGAAATATATAATTAAATAAATAACTCATTGAAAAATAAACACATGAGAAGGTGGGAAATAGTTCCCCAAATAGGATAACTATCAAGGAAATCTGTAATTACTTATGCCATTGTCCTGGTCTAATCTTCTCTAGGACCCGGTGCAAAAGAAAAAGTTTATAAAATCTTCAGAGTAAAAATCAGCACACTACACTGAGAAAATGGCAAGCTTTGGGCCCAGAAAGACTTCACCTTTTATCTTGGCTCCTCTACTAACTTATTCTGGGACAGTTATTGACCACAACTCTAATAAAACAGAAAGCTAATATGCACAATGCCGGCATGTTAAAGATTAAATGAAATAATGTTTGTAGGGTTTCTGAGTGGCACTCAGTAAATGGTTGTTATGGTGATTATTGATAGAATGGAAAATAAGTGTCAATTCTCCACAATGAGGCAAAAAGCACCGCGAAAAATGAAAAATATCAGGACAACCTAATCAAAAAATAAATGTGGAAAATAATCCACATTTGTTTGAACTGTCCAGGTTGATTGCTCCAAATTTCTGAGGGAAGAGGGGAGGAGGGAAGATAACTGAAAGTATTATTGAGTAGCTCTCAACATGTTTTTCCCACTGTGACACACATGATAAATTATGGTCATATGTGTAACTCATTCCTATGTGCAATTTCTGGCAATAAAAATAATTCCATTTGTTTCTATTCCACTCAAGATAGGCTACTGCAACACAAGTGACCATGACATTGCTATTGAGATAGACTGGAACCTGCTCTAGTGTACTTTAAAAATAAATGATTTGCAAATTGTATATATTTTAGGTATCATTAATTACAAATTTCTTGGGATACATCTCATAACTGATCAAGATTCATCCTTATCATTTCATAAATGAGTAGACTGAGGCTCAGAGGGATTAAATGGCTGGCTCAAAGTCAAACAGCAAATCTGTAGCAAAGCAAGAAAAAAATCTAGACTTCTTTCAGCACACATTGTATCAGGATCTTAATGCTCTAAAGGGCCTTCTGTTTCACAATGCCTCTCAAGGTACCATATTTTAGCTGCACAGTTAAAACTTAAGAATTTCATGATGACTGTTCTTTTTTTGATGCGTCTAAATTTCTTTTTTCCATTTCTTAGAATGGTAGACATTTGGAAAATGCCTTCTGTTTAATTTTATTCAACACATATTCATTAGGGCCAAGCAAGTTCTAGGTCTAGGGATCTGGGAAAGAGCAAAACAAAATCTCTGCCTTCATGTCTATTGGAAGAAATGAACACAAAATGAAATGAAATTACTGTATTTTTTATTTATTTTATTTATTATTTATTTAATAATTTATTTTTTAATTTAATTAAATTTAATTGAGATATAGTAATATAGTATTTTAGATAGTGATAAGTGTTGAGGAGGAAAATAAGGCAAGAAAGGGATGGCACAGGAATATGTGTGAGGAAGTTCCATTAATGAGCTGATGTATTTTAATTCATTGCCATTTGATAAGGAGGGACAGAGGACTGAGGGGTAGTCACTCCTAAAACGTGCCCAATCTTGTCAGTGAAATATCCATCAACTGTGTTATCTCCCTATGGAGCCTCTATTTTAATTAGGCAACGCAACACTTAGCCAGCAGGAAAATCTGCCCTGCTATCTGGAGGGGCATGGAGGAAAATCTGATCCTAGTCAAAACTATTACAAACCAGAATATGGCAAGATTATGCTCAAAATTATTTTAAATGTTATCCCCTCTTCCTTATATTATTATTTTAGAAATGACATACTATCATATTTACAATACTTTAAAATTTTTATTTGCCTTATTCTAAGCCTAGAGCCCTATACTAAATAGGTTTTTGATTGAGTACATGCTCCTGCCTTCTCTGTACACTATGAATATTGTACAAAATGAAGGCACAATATGATATTCATACAGCGAGTTCCTGGATGATTATTGCTTATTCTACTTCAGAGGTTTGAAAATGATACTTTAAGATTTCTTCACTGTTTTTAGGCATTGTTCATTTTGATTACTGTCAAGTGAATATATATTTTCTGTTTTTTTGATATTTGTATATGAGTTTTTTAACTGAAATATAGTTAATTTATAATATTTAAAGTATCTATTTTCAATGTCATGTTCATTGCCAAAATAAAATCTCTGCCTTCCCAATGATGATTCAGTGTCATTGTGCACTATACTGACTTCCATGTGCAGAAGAAAAAATAAGGTCAAAAAAATATTTTGGTCTAATGCAGGAAGGGAGAATGGGGTCTCCAGTGGTGTGATTGGTAAGTGCTAGCAAATCTTCACAGTGAGCAAAGAGGACATGAAAATGTCTTTATTTGTTTGTTTTCTTGTTTTTAATCTTTCCAATAGTTCAGAAACTGAGAAAGGCATCTGATTAGCTTATGAGACATTTATCTAGGACAGCATTCCCCATCTAATGAGATTGAGCACTTACTTTCAATTGCCTTGATTTTATTTTCCCAGGGGACACAAGCAGCTTTGAAGTTCTCAAAATCACGGAGAAATTTTGCCCATTTCTGAAAAGAAAGCCAAGTATAACAGTAAAACCCAACTGCTTGTTTGTTAAGATGTTTATCTCCCACACTCATCCCAAAATATCTCATGACAATGAGCTTGGAAAGATCTCTCTGGCATCACATATTGCTTTTTGTAAAAAGGGGAGAGGCTAGTTTCACTTGCCTCCCTGTTCCCCACCTACCCCTGGACCAAGTTAATTAAAAAATGTTTACTGACTCTCTGTTTTACAGAAAATATGCTGACCCCTGAGAAATATCTGTTTATTCTACCACACAATAAGAGAGCAGGGACTGAGTTAGCACCTAATAAGGTGATCAGCAAACGGTGTGTGTTTAATTAAATATTCATTGCATGAAGAAATTAAAGAAATATAAATAAGACATAGTTCCTGCCTTGAAGGGCTTCTGGATCAAGTACACTGTACATAAACAGGTAATTTCTATACAGGATGGTAAGTGCTATGACTCTTCATTCTGGTAGAGGTAGAACAGTCAGCTAAATGGAAAGGCATGGTGTTATAGGAAAAGGAAGAAGAAAAAGAATCCTAAATTAGTTTTTATAAAAGATCTTCCTTCCATTTTACCCAACAATGTTGGGTTACCCATGATCAAGAGGACCACTAAGAAGAAGAATGAGAATGGGGCAGATAACTTTGCACATGTACAGATTATGCTGGGATAATGGGTGAGCTAGACAGACATGGGGAGCCTAAATAAGATTTGAGACAAGTCTGGAGTTTGAAAGATTACCTAGACCAGAAACAACCCAAATATTCATCTATAACAGAATGGATAAATAAATTACAGCATCTTCATACGAGGGGATACAACACATAAATGAAAATGAAATATAACTCCCATGACATGAACATATCTCATGAAAACAACATTGCATCAAAGAAGCCAGAAACAAAAGCATAAATGCTATATGATTCCATTTATTTAAATTGTAAAAACAGACAAAATTAATATATGATATATATGATGTATAAATATATATTACAGATCTATCTAAATACTTCATATTTAAGATATATGAACTTTAGTCACAAAACTCCCATCTTTATGGGACTATATTTAGCCTCAGGTGGTATAACATTTGTAAAGAGGAGATAATAATACCTACACACCTACTTTGCTGTGAGAATTAAATATGGAAAGATTTTTATATAAAGATTCCATTTTTATAGAAGGATTTAATTCAGTGTTTGGCACATAGTAAGTGCTAAATAAATGTTAGTTTCTTTTCTATCTTTCCCAAAGATCTATATTTATATTGGCATATCATTTGTTTTTTCTTATTTTCTATCCAACCTACAGTTGATGTTCATGGTAGAGAAGAGCTATATGGCCGTGTAACGTGTACACATTTTGAGAAAGAAACGTTGACCCAGAACCCCTTAACTCCCAGGGAATGAAAATGAAAGGGGCTCAACCTTTTACATTTGGAAGTGATAAAAGCACACAAGTCAGTCTTTTGCCTTAAATCAATGTTTATCGACTTATTTTCATTTTAACTCCTTTAAAGAGCCTTTTAGGACAATTTCTTTTCTGAATCATCCCTTTCTCCAAATTTCAGTAACGCAGAATACTCTTTATCTACTGTATATGTACCTATGTATAGACATAACATATAACATTTTTTTCACTCAGAACAGAACCAATTTTACCACCCCTCGGGGGCAACATGGCTTCCACTGAGCATAAATGGCACCAACCAAATTGAGCTAAGAAAATACTTACCTTGCCCATCATCATCTTAAATGCAAACCACCGTTTTCCTTTTCCTTTCCCAAGAGCCCCTTCATTTTCACTCACAAATTTTTTTGCTTCCCTGAGGAAATAAAACAAAATAAGGGGTGGGTGGTGGTGGGTTGAGATTAATACAGCATAAAGGTAGTGGATATTTAATTTTATTAGGTCTACTGCCTTATTTCTTCTAGACATTTTCAAACCCTTAACAAGTGAATGTAAGCTGAATTTCCTAACCTTGGGACTTGTAATGGATGTTTAAGTTTTTTAATTCTGGTCAGAAAGAATGAGATATTTCAGTCTCACTTATTAATCAGCTGGAGTCATCAAAAAGCAAGGAATTTATGCGAAGTGTCAAAATAGAGAACCCTAGTTCTTCTCATTTCTACCACATATAAAAATGAATCTGAAGTTTACTTCAGATTTTGGCAGTCAGAATGTTTATTTTAAAATACTTTCTTTCCTTCTTTTTTAAGGATTGCTTTTTAAAAAGAAATCGGGCAGGGAGTTTAGGACAAACTGACATAGAACACACTTATTGATCTGGTATTTAATCTCATAAAAGCAATTATGACTTAAAACAGAAAAACCAGACTCTGTAAAGCAAATGGGGTTGAGGGAAGAGAGACAAGGAAAGGAATACTTTTTGGCCTCACATTCCGAAAGGGCTTCAAATTTAAACTTTAACGTTATTCCCAAATATTTGTACATTTACAGTAGTCACATTAGTGTCTTTGTGTTGGTGGTAAAAAGCATTAATTCATCAAAATGGATAAAGTGAACATGTTAAATATACAACTTTTGTAAGCTTTTTAGTCATTTTTGCTATTGTTGTTTGTTTGAGATATGAAAAGAATTTTTAAAATAGAGGCAGTCCAGGCTTGCCTTGACCTCTCCAGGGCCGTAAAAGGCACAACCCAAGAGAACAGAGGGATAATCCAAACCCGGACATTGGTTCTGCAGGTACAACGCTGTCGTCAGCCGGGTGGCCCCTGGAATATGTGGTTTTACAGACAAGCCCCTTCAACACATGACTATAAATAAACAACACACAAAGTACTCTTTAAAAAGTGAAAAACGAAACTTCATCCTTAAGTTGGTGAAGGATTTTCTGTCTTCCTTAATATCAGTGCTAAACTCATGATTTTACAATACCCAGTGATGGAAACAGCACGTCTGCTAACTTAGCTGATAACTAGAAAATGGTGCCCCGTTACTCACCTGTGCATGTGCACCCACTCATGACCTGCCATAAAAACACAAGCACAACAGAGAAGATTCTCTTCAGTCATCAAACAGACTTCCCACATCATTTCCTTAATGGCAGGGACAATATCTTGTCCTTTTGTGTCTCTCACAGCACTGTTCACTACTTTGACCATAGGAGGTGTTTAGTAAACTGAAACCTTCTTGAAATAGACCTTAACGGCATAATTTGGATAGACAGAGACAAGGGAGTATCTAATAATTGTATTTTCCACATCAATTAATGCTTGAAGGAAAAATCATTCCTAGACTTTGGGATTGCACCCTTCCCTTCAGTCTTCTCAGAAACAGTAGGACAGCTTTCTAGAAATGAAGATTTATTAGGCTGGCCTTGTCAAACACCCTGACATTTGACATGACTTCTGGGCTGTGAAGATGAACTGAAAAACAGTTTCTAGAACATTCTACACATTTTAAAATGTTCAATAAAGCCCCATCAACAAGTATAAACTGAGCTCTCATGGCTGGGTTTTTAGATCCATGCAATCAAAAAACCGTATCACAGTTAAGCTTTAACTATGTATTATAGAGATGATAAGACAGGAGTGAGTGTGGTACTTAGCAGACACTTTATAAAATGTTGAACTGATCTAAGCTGAAAATCAAGTAACCTGAGCTCTAACCCAGACTCTGTGATTTGTCTCTATAACTTTGCCCATGTTTTTGTCACTCTCTGTACTCACGTTAAGGAGCATCCCACTTCTCAGAGGAAAGACTACTTGCTCGGGGCTCGCACACACCTGAGCAAGCTCTGGCACAGTTCCCTTCAGTTACTGTGCAGCTTTTAACAGGTCAGGATTCTCAAACAAACAAACAAAAATTGGGCAATTGCTTCCCTGCTTGCTGGCGTGGTGGCGAGAATAAGATGAGACCATAGATGTGAAGGTGTTGAAGGAATTATTACACCGTCAATTCCACTGTAACACTTGTTTTGAAACCAAGAATCTGTTCTAACATGATTGTTTTATATTACGGAACAATTTGAACATAACACAGATTTTGTGTTTGCTTACGTGTGATTTTATCTACAAGAAACAGTGGGTGAATACAAGAAAAAAACACATCCATCTAAACCTAGCAGTATATATACAAAATGCACACACCTCCTCAACCAGCTACTTCATGGCACCCCACGTGTTAGAAAAGTCACATCCATTCAGAGCTGGTGTTACAATGACCCTCCTTCCCTGCTTCACAACAATTCACAAACTGCAATCTTGTCATTTCCACAAGCAAACTTCAGGTCTTTTTTAAGGCAAACTGCCATATTTATTGCAGTGTTTATGTATTTCTCAGCCATTAAACGTGTAAAATGTTGCTGCCGTTTTCTTAAATTTCTATCTTTTTTTAATGTGTCACTGATGATGGTTCTGAATATTGTGCCCCATCCCCATTTTTCCTGCAAGCCCTGTAGTTTTCATTACCCAATTTTTCATAGTGTAGAAATTTTTAGGAACCTATACATCATGTTATAGCAATTATTTGGCATCAAGAATTTTGAAATTCATAAAACCAAATATAGACAGGAATTATCACATCATTCTCTATTATACTAGACATATATAAATGGAGGACCAAAAATTCTTCTTAGTAGTAAAATCAAAATTTGTTTTTCAGATGTAATAAGGTGACTATTTTATGGGGATATCCACTGTTCCTGATGTTTAGCAGATAATTAAAGAACATCAGTTTGGCCTATTAGAATTAGATCACTTTCTAGCTGAGTGGCCAATTAGAAAACATGACGGCTCTAAGCAGACAGGAGTGTAAAGACATAGCTATTCTACTCCATATTTCTGACAAGATTTTAAATTTTGTGAGCTGATAATTATGTTACAGGAACATTAAACTAGCAAGATTTAAGAGACAGAGGCAAGTCAGGGTTATAACCAAATTTAAGTCACCACAAAATTAATTATAAATTCATTTCACAAATACAGAAACTTATTTTCATGGCATTCATAAGGTTTCTTATCAGTTATTATAGATATATTTTCCTTTGGACAATCTAAACAAGTTTTTTTGTCTCTTAAATTGCCAATTTATCCCTGATACTAAGCATAGTTTCATACTTCTCTTCCAATTACTACCCTACCCCACCCTCAACACACATATCCTGAAGGTTTTCAAATGAAAGTCTGGACTTCACTCTACTCCACATAGTCACAAGTGCCCGAATGCCCTAACCCCTCCTCCATCCTTCAAGAGATCTTCCCCAAGTTTCATACCTAAGGGCTCCCTGACCAGCCATTCTAGAGCCTCCTGTTCCCCACTTCCCACCGTGGCCAAAATAACTACTAGACTCAACTCATCAGAAATCTAGGGGATGACTTTAAAACAAAGCCAGGGGTATGGGGTGGGCAGAGAATTGTTAAGCAAGAACAGATTCTTGATCCCCCTAATCTGATGCTCTTGGGACGTAAGAAAGCACTCTTGCACCTTTCCGGCCTAGAAGAGGGGATATTGGGGTGGAAGAGCTCAGTGAAAGAATACATCTTAACACTATTTTGGGGGCTGACTTTTACAATGAGCTGGCATGATTTCAGGATGGAAGAAAACTAGTATCATCCAATCCCATTCTCCCTGATAACAGATTTCTTAACCAGAAGACATCTTTCACTGTGCTGTTAGAAACAAGATACAAAAAGAAACTAGCCAATATGGAGATAAACACTGACTGATACTTATCACACTAAAGTACCATAACAGATGTCAGAATGCAAAAAAACAAAGAGCAGAGTCTTTGAAAACTAAAAAGCAAAAAATTTTCTTTATATTTTTCTTGTAGTGAGTCCATTTTCCTACCCATTTGTATTGATCTGGATAATTTAAAGGGATTTATCTACAGGGCTAAAATGAAATAGGCTCTTGTGGATAAACTTTGACTATCTGGTGGCCTCAAACCATCCAAATATCTGACTGAGAAATGTGTGTCATCCCCTTGAATTGCATTCAACAAAAGCTGCCTGCCAAGACTGTAATCCAGTCTCCAGGTCTCAGAGCTCAAAGCCCTGGTACAATATGCACAGCTCTCTGAGCTGTAACCCCAGACCCAGGGATAAATAATTGAGCAAGGTCTATTTAATGACAATAATACCTGGCCTCATAATTTATTTATCAACCCCTTGTGTTGGTAATTAGAATAATAAGGTTTCACGGGCTTTCAAGAATGCTTTCACAGTTAGTTGAAGGAGCACACTTTGGCCTAACTTACAAAAAAGATAACTTACCCATAACACATGATACAACCCTGATGACACAAGGGATTTAGGACATGCTATGCTGCCTTTGACACATTCTCGTCCCAGGAAACATGTTCTCATTTGGGTTAGGTTAAGTTGACTTTTCTTTCCTCTTGTTCTCAGTTTGATAGTATCATTGAGCAACCAACTTATTGCTCAAGTAAACAAAAGACTTTTCAAAACTGGTCTTTAAGGCAACTGTAATCAAAACTTGTGCTCATGACATTACTTCCCAGTAAAGGGATCAGAAGAATGAAAGGTCTTTTCCTAATAAACAATGCCATTTAAAAAAAAAAAGTTGACCAATTTAAATTGACTAAAAGTCAGAACTCTGACTTTTCCTAAAATATTACTGAGTAATTGAAAGAAAGTTGAGGAGGTAAGAAGACAGTCTAATATACAGAGATTGAAAATAAGGATTATAGGCCTTTCTAGATAATATAACTCCATAATTAGACTGGCAGAATTATTTTAAGTCATCCTAATACTGGAACTGAGCATTCAAAGCATGTGCTTTTATAACGGGGATGCTGGTGGCAGCAGTTATAATGGTTAAGATGCTCAGTTGTTTCAT